CCCCCCCCCGGCAGCTATGAGATCTAGAGAGTGTAACAGCACACTCATTGTGATAGTAGGCATAGGTTAGACTGTTTTCGTGAATAACAAACGCCGGGCCTCTGAAACCATTGTATGGATAGTGATGGGTGACAAAATGTGATTGTATCAAATTTGGTATTACATGTTTTTATGTGGAATAAAATGACAAAGGGCACAAACATACCAGGGTACCTTAAAAATAGACAAAAACTATGTCTTTGCATATAAGGAAAGATTTTGTTACCAAATGTCTATGATACTATCCAACATTTTTGCTGCATCGAGTTGAGTTGAGTCCTACATATTTTATTGTAGTTTTATATGCCAGTCCGTTGCTTTCTTGCTATTTTACCTCCTATGTTCACAGAATCATTAAGTATTTAGGGAAGGTTGGGTGTCACATACTGAAGTCGGGTGTAGATATTTTGTCCCACAGTATTTACAGTTATGGGACTTTGTTCTTTTATTATACTAAAGTTCGTACTTTAGCGTGTTTGGATGGGCAAGTGTCACACGTACACTATTATTTGGTATCTTGCTCTTCTTTTACATATTTATAGCCCTGGTCATCTTTGAAACATATTTTTCGGTTAATGATGATTTCATACATGGGAGAAGGGAGGCAACTGCTTTGGAGAGTTTTGAAAATATGTAAGCACTGTGCGATTTCCAGTATGGCTAGTGAACTGCAGATTATTTTTTTCAAGCTAAATAGGACAATTTCACTTAATTCACAATGAGTATGAAACTAGCTTTATCATCTTATATTGATGAGTCTTGTTGAATCAGATAATATCATGATCAAATGATGGAAAAGTAGAAGGTGCTTTATCAAAATTGTGACGTACATTATCTCTGGATCACCTATTCCCTACTGGGGATGGGGTTTTAAATAGATGATACAATGTATAGGAAAATAACACTTTGGAGCATTTTTGGTTGTTTCCATTAAGAAGTTATCTTGGGATGACAGAATGATTATTTGAAAATTAAGAATCCACCAGAAAGAGGTGAAATAGGATGGTAAGGCTTTAGGGGTTGTGTTTTGATTCCATAATCAATATTTTATAAATACATTTACATGGCATTGTCACTATATAGCCTCTTTGAAGGCTGTGTCGTTGATGGTACTTTCCTTACCATGCATCACGAGACACAATTCTTAGCGTATTAATACAACACTGACCGGAATTACAATATCCAATGTAAATATACATGACGGCTGCTGAAATATCGCTAGACATTGTGACACTTGACAACATCATTATAAGTTTATGTGCAAAAGAAAAAAGAAAATAAGAAATACCTTTATTACAACAAAAACAAGACCAAGGTCTGCAATATCGTACAAAATGCACATCGGTTGAAATCACCAATGCTGCTATGGATTTTTTTTTAACACTCATGCAATTTATCAGAAACATCGTCTGTTACACTGCACGGATCAACAGGGGTTCATTACAAATGTCTGAAATACACATATTGTATAGACCTACTGACACATATGTTACAGACCTACTGATATGAGTCACAGCACACATAAACATTTCAGACATTTGTAACAAACCCCTGTTCTCCGTCGCAAGATCACTAACTTCAAACGATATCAGTTTCACGCGTCTTGCAGCCACGGTTTCCTCAGTTTCTGACAACATGTCAAATAACGAGACTGTTTTAGAATCTACCGACTGTAGTCAGATTCCCATACAATCAACAATAAATTCACGTCTGGGTTCTTCACAAAATGAGCAAAGAGAAAAGTTCGAATTAACTTCCAAAAATAACTCGGGGTTTACGGTGTTCACTGTATTTATCCATGCGCAAAATTTGTTCCGGGGAAAAATCGAAACAATTACAAAACTAACTTCCAGCTCGGAGTTCTATTGATAAACTTAAATCACTCTATAGACATATCATACGCAATTGTATTGATACTGAATTGTGGAATAAAATTGGAAGTGTTTGCTAAAATTTCAAATTACTACTTTGTTTGCCAATCAGCATGCGACAACACGCTGTTCCAACTATTGAACGAATTTGTGTGGACTGTCGAAAAGGGTGGGAATTAAATTTTAAATATAAATTTTAAATTAAAAAGAAGATAAGAGGCAGAGAAAACGTTAATATAAGTATTGAAGTGTTTTTGTATGGTATTTATGATCTATTTGAATGACACAGCTTTGCAAGCAAACAACATAATGCGCAGCAAATAACCTGTATCCTGGAGATTGGATTGACATCTCATGTTCACATTTATTTCCATGTCGCGTCACAACAAAAGAACTATTAACCATGCTTGGGACTCTTTGTTTTTGTTACATTTCAATATTGTATTTTGCTGCGGTTTGTTTCAAGAATGCTTAAGGAGGTAAGACAGACGTAGGACTTTATCAATGAGTTAAGAGATACTCTATGGCATATGATAGGTGTATATTGTACTGCCCCTGTGGTACATTTGTTAAAAAACTTGCTGTGAGCTATCCTTGAAAATAAGTACGATGAGGCTATGACTCGGAACATTGTCCCTTTAACAACACACTGATAGATTTTCTGTTGGTTACGATCATGTAAAGGTTTGAAAATGTAATTCTCTGGAGAAACTGTGTATAGTGTTTATACAGTTTAATTTTTATCTTCCCTAGGAGCTCAATAATCCCCCAGTCGAAGCTGATGGCCAACCAGGAAAGTTTCCGAAGACTAGAAAACAGTTATTACAGCTCCAGCGGAAATTAGGATCCAAAGGTCAGACTCCCTGAAAATTCTGTAAAATAAGGATAAATTTCTGTCAAGCTTTAGGTTGAGTTCAATAACTAAATTTGGTGTATGTAAAATACGTCATGGCAAGACTCAGACTAAGTTTGATCCCCAATCAGAAATACGTCATGGCAAGACTCAGACTAAGTTTGATCCCCAATGAGAAAAACGTCATGGCAAGACTCGGACTTAGTTTGATGCCCAATGAGAAATACGTCATGGCAAGACTCGGACTAAGTTTGATCCCCATTGAGAAATACGTCATAGCAAGACTCGGACTAAATTTGATCCCCAATGAGAAAAACGTCATGGCAAGACTCAGACTAAGTTTGATCCCCAATGAGAAATACGTCATGGCAAGACTC